TTGGCCGATGGCGCGGCCGTCCATCATGAATGTTTGTTCGTCGCCGACGAACCAGGCGATTTTACCCGTGGAGGAGACGCCGGGGGTGTATTCGAATGCATATTTTTGGTATTGGAGGCCGTCGTACCAGTTGTTGTTGAGGAGGGTGGTGCCCGAAATCGCTTGTTGGAAAGGGCCGCCGCAGTATGAATTCATATTTGTGGTATTGTAGTTGGGGATTTGGAGGAATGCGTGATTGGGTCGATAGAAGACGTCAAAGGGAGCAACTTGGAACGATTGCGTTACGACTCCAATGCGGTTATTGGGATCGACGCTTCCTTCTAGGACGTCGATTTCCGGGGCTCCGCGACCGGTTCCGGGGGTGGGATGATCTTGGCCTTTACATGTGCAGGAATTGAGTTTTTGACCTGGGAGCTCGGAGAGTCCGTCGGGAGAGGATTGATTGGGGGTGATGCCGTAATCGCAGGAGTTGTAGGTGTAAGGCCACACGCCTTCGGTGGTAGCTTTGTAGCCTGGACGACCCAAATTACCCATAGACCAGACACCGGGCCAGAGACCTGGAACTGCTGAGGGACCCGGAAGGGAGATGGATACTTCGAGGATACCGCCTTTGAAACAAAGTTGGTTCCAAGAGTTAAGCATACCGGATTGGTATCCGAGGTTATGGTTTGCAAAAGCATCCATGCGTAATTGAAGAGTACCCCCTCCAGTTGTGACGGCTACGGGATCTATAGGAGTATTAGTATATGAGTAGTGAATATTATTTTGCCATATGTAAAATATGAAATGGCATGCATCCTTCCGAAGACATGGAAACCAAATCTGACTTGCTCATCATGCATGCCAAGAACCCCACAACCTTAATTCCACCTTCATTTTCTCGGCTCTTCTCTCGCCTCCTCTCTTCCCCTTAATTTTCGCCAAATCTCAAAATCCAATACTCAACCCATTTTCTCCTTTAATCATCATCCTCATATCGACCTCAAACAAAAAGAAAATCTCAAAAACTTACCATACCACTCCATATCCTGCGTAGCCCCATACCAAATATTCGGCGCCGTCCAAAACGGATCATCCCCAGGATAAAAAGTTCGATTGTTATTATTAAATTCATCCGAGAAAACTAGATTGAGAGTTTCTCCATTGAATGTTGATTTTCTAGTTCTCGAAGCTTGGGGTGTGTCGGGATCGATTAGGGTTGTGCGAACATTGCGCAGGAGGGGATAAGTTCTCTGTTGTGGGAGTTAGAATATAGAAATAGGGAGGAGAAAGGGTAAAGATTGGGAGAGAAAACAAAATGCAAGACAAAAAAGATCAAACTAACATTATTAACATGCGCCCACGCCGGTCCATAATCCACATAATTCCCACTACCTCCTCCCGCCGTACCCCAAACGCTCGTCGTGAAAGTCAACACCGGCAACAAGATAAAAACACAAAGTAACCCAATGACCAAAAGAACCCCTCCAATAGCATTTATCAAACTCTTCTTTTCCATCCACTCATGAAACGTAGGTTTAAAATCCCGATCATCATTTTCATTCGGCATGTGAAGATTATCATCATCTTCAATCTCATCATCATATAATATAAATCCCTTTTCACCTCCGAAATAGGGATGGAATGCTGCTACTCGGTCGTCAGGATAATTCCATCTTTCAGGATTATCAATGAGAGCTGCGCTTGAATCGCGAAATGGGTTTTGGGGTATAGAAGAAGATAAGGAGTCGGAGGATGTAGATGCTTCAGATATAAAAAGTGGGCGAGGTGTACTTAGTTCCGAACCATATGAAGATGGAGTGCGGGAAGTAGGATAGCGGGAGTAATCATGGCCTAGATCTTTCAATCCTTTTGGTGTACCCGTTCGTGATGTATCTCCCATCTGTAAACCAATTCCTGCCAATTCTGATTTTCGTCTTAGAAGTTGTTGCGGAGGACTCAGTCCCTTTCCCCTCTTATTTGTATTTCCATTACTTCGTGTATTTCCACCCGAATCTGTCGATGTAGGAAGAGGTAGATCTCCAGAAGAAGAAGAACCTGCAGGTGAAATCGTACCGCCCATTAAACCACTTTTTGTTTCGTCACTACTATTAACTGTTGTTGATGAAGCCGAAGGATTAAGAGGAGATGGTATAACTGGTAAATATGATTTTCGATTCATACTTAAATTGGATGCACGTCGCTCCATTTGTGGAGTATTTGAAAGTCTTCGTGAATCCGGTCTGACAATATCTGTAGTAGAACTAGGTGAGTTCGATGGGCCTGCATTGATATCTATTGCTAACGACATATTTGATCGTCCAGCTTGAACCATTTCCATAAGAGTTTGTTGGGAATTGCGCATCTCAACCTTTGCAGGAGGAGAAACTTTTTGTAATGGTGACATTGTACGTGGATTTCTCTCACTTGATTTGTTGAACCCGATACCAAATCTCTAAATATCCCTCAAGTGAATTCCAGTTAAACCAGACTAAACACACTATACCTCATAAAATCCATATAAGATTGGAATACCCAGCAGAGATTTCCTCAAGAAATTGTTCATACATCAAATAGTGAATAACCGTCCATATCACTCATGTAACCCAACTCTCACATTCAAAATCGCATTGCGAATTCGGCGATAGACACAACCACACAACCAAAAGCAATCTGCCAAGAGCGTGACGTTTTGAAATCGAATATATCTATAAACATAAATAAATAGATATCTTCCGAAAACGACAAAGGAGTTTCCGAGAATTCTATAGCTGTCCGGAATTGGCTATGATGTACTCGAGTATTTTTATCGCATGGAGCTTTGGAATGTGGAGTTGGTGACTGATAAGAGCTACCGGTGGAGAATTTCCCCAGAATTGAAGATCAAGCTTAAGGTTATCGGGACTTCAACGAAAGAGGAGAGAAAGAAAGAAAGAAAGAAAGAAAGAAAGAAACCGGTAATTATTGATAGTAACAGAAACGATTGAGACTATATAAATAGCATTTATCTATCGTATTGATCGCCGATAATAATGGACCAGGAACATACATGCAAAAGCGACAGTGATGATTGAGATGAAGTGAAAACGACAGTAGAGTATAGAAGTTAAAGAAGAGGAGGAGAAAGATTAAGAAGGTAACGAAACGAAACGAAACGAAACGAATGAGAAGCACCTCATAGTAAAATACCTAGCTAGTCCTCATCTCGTACCTAGTCTTCGTACCTACACTCACAAATGCAAGTAAGTGCAAGTGCCAAAGGATAAATTCCAACACAATGCACACATACGTACCTAGTACATACACACCTAGTACCTACCTATCTACCCGTCACCATACACCCACCACTCACCAATTAAACTTCACCATCAACCAATCCCATCTCGGTTACTTGACTCCCCTAGACAGAACAGAGTCGAAATGTCGAATGTGCATATGGAAAGAAAGCCATATCTCTTGTACCGGGATACTTTCGCGAGTCCGAGGGTGGTGTGTGTCGTATCCAGATACTTTTATATCTATCTAATCGCGAGATGAAAAGATCGAGAATCGAGATGAGGCTATCAATATGTATCTATTCGATATCCAAGCGTTCATCACATACATACATAAACATTCCCATACTGCAGACATCAATCAATCACACACATCACACACACAATTCACACCCACCACTCACCCCCCAAAATTCCACAATCTACCTACCCACCTCGCCTACCTAGTATATCTAGCTCGTACCCCCGCCCCCATCCCAACGCCACTAACGAACGTTATATGCGTCTGCCCATCTACCCATCCACCCATCTATCCACTATACTAGTACCAAACAAACAAGCAAACGAACAAGCAAACAATCAAGTAAAGCCTATCTCGATCTTGATTCTCAACCAATTATATATCATACCGTGCAGATAGTACATTCAGTACATAGTACATCCCGCTATCGATTTCGACATATACATGATACATTTACATATACATACGTACACATATATGTATATACATTTCATATTTTCATACTTTTCACACCATAGTATATAATTTTCTGACAAGAATGTACTAGGTATCTGCACACCATACCGGTACATATATGATTAACGAAAACAATATACATAAACATACACAAACATGCAAAACGTACCATTGTCACCATCATTATTACTAAAAGTAGGCCATACATAGATAGGTATACCAAATAGAGTAGGTACTTAGCGAATATAAACTTCAACTTTCGCATTTAACTTTTTCAATTCTCGGTCTCTGCATGTCTAGCTCGCTCACACAGACATATACCTAGGTACTTATCGTATATCTATTCTCCGCACACCGGAGAATGCTTAATCCATTCATATGCATGTGCACATCCTCCTGCTCTCCCTAACCACTTCATGAATATCCATGCGTCCATTCATTCACTCCCGATTTCCAGATTCCATACTTCATACTTCTTGATCCGTGACCCCTTCATCGCTCACTCACTCGCTCGCCTATCAAAACTTCATACAGTATACACGTAGTACATACATATATCTAATACCATCCTCTTCTCTTCTTCATTCCGAAAATGTCGTGTCCATCAATCAATCAATCAATCATCAATTGTGTTCCCACAAACCCCCACTCTCTTCAAGCTCATCAATTCTCGTATCTCGAATTTCAGACCTCTCATTCATTCATTCATTCCCTTTCCTTTCGTCTTATTCCGTTTCCAAGTAATATCGATATAGAACAAGTAAAATTAATCCCCTATTCTCGAGCGATTTTTTCATTAACTTCTCCCCCCTAATACCCTCAAGATCAAAAGCTAATCCATAACCATCATGCCCAACCATTGAATTTCGAGTTCTGTAGAATCGGCGACACATCCCTAACCACTCTTCGGAAGATGCAAATCCGCCCAGTCAAGTCTGACAAACAACGTGGTTGATTTCCTCGTGTAATATTCCTACATATATGGGTCTTATAGACAGCCAATTATTTAATAATCTCCGGCTAGCTCTTCTCATGTCAAGTGTAGTAGCTCAAGGACCATGTCGAGAATCTTTGTGCGACAATGAGTTTTGTTGACGAACGACTTCTGGTTCATCATCTTCATTATCCCATCCCAGAACCGACTTCAATGAATTCAATTCTTTTTGTAGTTGTTGGAGTCCCCCTGCCACTCCACTTAGAACAGTGAACAGTTGTTTTTGTGTACTCTTCGGAGTGTCGTCGATGAGGGATCGTTCTTTCATCATAGAATCGTCAGCTGAGATGGGATATTGAACGATTTGATTATTGGGAAAATTATGCATCGGCAACGGATGGGCGAATTGATTATTGTGAAGAGGTGGACCTCCCTGTTGCATGACTTGTTTAATCGCAGGAGTTTCGTAGAATCGTGGTCGATGCAATACGATTGGAGTTGCTCGTGACTGCTGCCCGTTTGCGCCTGGTTCGCCTTCGTCCATATTTCCTTGATCGAGTTCTTCGCGGGCAATTTGTGCTTGTAACAAGGAGTCCAATTCTGCTTCTTGAGCTTCCTTCAATCCGGGCGTCCTCAATGGTGGTCGTGGGATGGATGGAAGAGGTGGGTATGGACTGACATAATGACCTGGTGAATTGAATTTACTGAATATGCTATTCTCCTCTTCATACGTTGGCTTTTCGAATTCGGATCGCTTTCGCTTGGTGGAGAGGTCGATTTTTTCCGTATACCTTAAAGCTCTGGCATCTTGATCCCCTACAATTGTAAAATCCAAGGATTAGTCAAAGTCTTTCACCAAACAAGATCGTAGAGTAGAGGATGTAGATACCCAGATTTTTTATTCTCAAACTGCATTTATTTCCTTTACTCGTGAAAATGCAAGTCGCGCAAGCTCCTTGAAACCATTCTTCCAACACAATGCAGTGAGAGAATCGGCCATAGCCCTGTTTACAATGCGAACATGGATTTGCCATTATTCTTCCTCTGGTGGCTACCATACATGCACCCCTCTGTTGAACGCGTTGACTCTCGGTCGATCTTTCCGGTGGTAATTCCTGGTCTTCACGCCATGGTAGATCGCGCATTTCAGGTAGAACCTTGATGCGATCGAGGAAAGTCGGCTCGTTTCTATGATTGCCAAATGAGTAGTACTTGTCGTTTGTATCGTCTGCAGAGGTATCTCCAAGGCTTAATTCTCGTCCATTGACTCTTTCTTCATTCCCATTTTCTGACGCTTGTTCGTTCTGTGTGTAGTTCTGTCCTGGACCTCTTTCTGGCGTCTCACTCATTTCTATATCATCCGTCATATCCATTCGAGACGAAGGCGCCCTATGTCTCCTGGGACGCATATTTCTTTCTTCTCTTTTTCGTTTTGATTTTCTTTCTGGTGACGGCGAAGTTGAATTTGCTTCAGAACGATTGCGCGGTTCAGGAGTTGGCGCGTTGTCGGCAGTCTGTCGCGTCCAGAGTCCTGGTCCGTTGGCTGAATATCTTGTTTTGGCAGATGCGTTACCTCGGTCGCGAAGTTCCATTTTATATGATGTGGTTTATTAGCTAGTCGGCGGGACTTGACAGCGAGAGATTTTGTTATGTGCAGAGCTAAGTAAGTAATTTGTCTAGCTTGAGGTGGTTAGGCCTAAGCGATAACCTTAAATTTTACTCTTATCGGTATGCCTAGCCTCCGGATCCGTACATCTAACTAGACTGACTCGGCAAAGGGTTACTAGACAAAATTATGGATTAGATGTAAAGCATCATCGTGATATCGATTCCTCAATTCCTTTCCCAACAATACAGGATCCTATAAAGAGTGAATTGAGAAAATACTTTGTTTCAATTTTGTTTATTGAAGCTACCTAGGTATCTACTTGAAGGTGATTCGATATTTTGCAGGGCACAGCTTGAACGCTCGCATGTTTTCGCTTATGAAAAGATTCTTCACCAAATTAGCTGATCTCCTACAATGGGCATTTGGAGTTCATTTGGAAGTCTTTCCATGTCGCTGTAGATATCATATTATGATTACTGTATCATCTGAATCACCTGTAACATCGTGAGATTATCAGCAAGTATGACTTCTAGATTCACGCATTTTTATTGCTATTAGGTTTAATATAGGCTAGTTTACAAAATGTATGTACGCTTATGCCGTAATGCTTGTGAATTTCAGAATATTATCGAAGCACCGTATCAATTATCATCATCCTCCACACCAAGCGTTTTCTTCAAAGTATTAAGCTCTCTCTGGATATTATCAATACCTCCTTGAAGACCACTGATAATTCCCATTAGTTGTAGTTGCTTTCGCTTTGGCAAAGTCTCTATGAGTGGAGCCGCGGCAAAACTTAGTCCATTCGGGTAGTAACAAAAGTCGGTTGGTATTCTCGTTGTTGACGTTTGTTGCCCGCTTTCTGGGGTGGGGGTTGCGATATAGTTGATCCATTACTCATGATGACTTGTTGCTGACCTGCGAAGACGCTGGGACTGTGGTTAGGTGGAACTTGAAATTGCGGATGGGGTAGCTGAGGTTGAGGTTGGTGTTGGGGTTGAGGCTGGTGTTGGGGTAGAGGTTGGTGTTGGGGTAGGGGTTGGGGTTGATGGTGAGGTTGATGTTGAACTGGAGGTGGAGGTGGAAATGGAGATTGGTATTGCGCCTGTTGCTGTTGCTGGACTTGGGCCTGAATTTGCTGTTGTTGTACTTGAGCTTGATGTTGCTGTAGTCTAGTTTGAGGCGGTTGCTGTTGTTGAGCTTGAGGTTGAGGCTGTGGTGGCTTGGCTTGTTTCGGGTCTGGTTTATCTTGTTGTTGCTCTGGCTTGGACTGCTCATGTTGTGGTTTTGGAATTTGTGGTCTGGGTAGATTTGGAAATGTAGGTTGGGATCCTGCTTGAGTTTGGTTGACAGAAGCCCAAGTTGTAGATGCCGGTCTACTTGGAGCTGACTGAGGAGTACTTGCACTTGGAGTATTGCTTGGTTTTCTGGTTGGTTCCTTGACGGTCGATTCCTTCTCAGCAGATTTGCCAACAGACTTGCGTAAACCACCATTTCGAGTGTTGGGTGTGGACGAGTTGCGCGTAGCCATATGTGGAGAATTGACAGGTGCCCATGAGCTTAAAGATGAACGAGGTGGGCGTCCTCCGCGTGTCTTTGTAGATCCCAACCCTGTGTCTACTACAGGAGGTTCTTGCCATCCCGTTTGAATTGGCTTTTCTGGTTCTTCGACACGGGCTTTCTTTGCTGGCGGACCAGAATGATTGTTTTCTTCAGCTTTATTTTTGGAGCTAGATTTATCTGGCGTCTCTTTGACAGTATTCTTTGCAGATGCTCTCCGTGTACTTGAGGATTCAGGTTCTGGAGTTACGCGAATTCCGTCTTCTGCAGTAAATTCATCGGGTTCGACTAGATTGGTGTGCAATTAGTATCTGGTAATAATTTCTTGCAAAGGAAAACTTACTCTCTTCATTAGTCTTGATGCTGCAACGGTTTGGTCTGCCACTTAATTGACAGCTAGCGCATGCTCCTTTGAAAAATCCTGGCAGTGCGATACATAAGGTGAACTTTCCCCGAGCATTGGCACATGAGAGGCAAGGATCCTCAACTACATTTCCTCGAGTAGCAAGTAAACAACCAAATCTAATTTGCTTCCTACGGGAATCTCCTCCAGTCTCGATCTCAGAGCCCGCTTCGACTCCTTCCCTCCAAGGCAGAGAACGTTTTGCAGGCATCATTTGTAATCTTTCCTCCATTGTTGATGAGTTTGGATCTCTGAATGAAATTTGATTCAAATACTTCGGAGGTGTGCTGGGGCTATATCGTTTAGATGCTGAACTGGGCGTCGCGATCGAAGGTTCGTCGGCCAGTTCTGGCTCAGGCGACTCGAGGTTTTGAGGACTAACAGCCGCCATTTTGTTTCTTGGTGCAAAATCAATATCGGATCCTATTGATTCAGGTGAAGATGGTGCTGCCCACTCATCATCACCATCTTTATCAACAACGATAGTATCGCTGTCTCGGGATCGTCGTGGGGGCATATTTTTAAGTCGCGTTAATCGAGACGTAATCGGTCGCGATATTTAAAAAGGTGAAATTAGATCGTTCTAATCCTTGTATCGAATATAAATATATGCCGCTTTTATCTCTTATCGGGATTGCACGTCAGGCTGGAAATTTGTTGGAATGGTTCAAAGTGAGATTGGATATAATTGCAGAATTTTTCTCGTAGACAACAATAATGAATGTAAAAAGCGTCGGGTAATGTGAATGATTCACAGCTGAGTACAGCACAGCATGGGCAGGTTTATCTACTTGGTCGGTAGATATTTTAGTTCGGAATTAGTTCTTTTAGTACTTCCTCTATTAGGTAAAGGTCTAGAAGTCTATCCATCGCCAAAATTGATAACCCAGAAAACTAATTGCCTTGATCGGCGATTAATGGATCTATGGTACGATTTTCTTCTGAAGGGTAGTGAATAGTCTCTTGTATTTCTATGTTGTTGGGCGCGTGATACGCTCGCTATGCTTACAATGCGTCATTTCTCCTATGGTAGCCATAATCTAGACTACCCTATGCTAATATGTTATGTTCGGTTGTATTACGAATGTACAACAAGCCATCTATTTTTTCTTGGCCTCCTCCTTGGTCAAGGCCAATTGGTCTTTTTCCTCCCTCATTTTCCTTTTAGCTTCCAGATCATTTTCTACTTGCCATACTGCTCGATCAAGTTCCATTTGCAATTCCGGTATGTCTAATGCTGTGGCAATTTCCTTTCCATCAGAAGCATGAAGTAGCATGGTCTCAACATCCGATACATTCGAACTTGATGAAAGTGTATCAGCCGCGCTTTTCGAGTCGGGAGACGGAATCTTGTTCCTCAAATATAACTCGTCTAATATCTTGGATGGCTTTGGTGCAATGAGATTTTCCTTCAAAAGGAAGTCGATGTGTTTAGACCCTGCAAGCGCTTTCCAATGACTATATGCACGAAAGCATAGATAGAAGAAAGGTAAATTTGGAATACTGAGTGATATTAGCTTCCGAAGATTATCGGCGAGGTTATAGCTGCACTTACATCGGAACAAGCGCGAAGGGAGCAACTAAAGGCATTCCAATGATTGAACCCCATAACCTCGTCTTGTGAAGTTGTCTTCTCTCTGTACCAAGTACTTGCAAGATTTTCGAAATGTTTTCCTGTGGAAGAAAATTTGAGGGAAATGAGATCTCAACTTTCTCTCTATCGCTCAATTCTTCTGCTCGCCTTTGTTTGGATAAGGGAGGAATCGATTTTAAACCCCATTCTTCATAGGGTATTCTTTGCAGAGCCTTGTTCCCAAAATCGACCACCTTCTTCTGCCATCCTGATTCCTTCTTCTCCCAACTATTCCAAAGGTTATTCGCCTTTGTAGTTGTCTTATCTAGCAAGGAAACCTCATTTGTAGTGGTAACATTAAGTCGCTGGCAGTAAATGAGGGTTCGCCGCGTGGAGATGGGAAGTAGGTAGAGGCGCATAGTTCGTTCTTCGTGGACCAGAAAATTAGATGGAAAATTTGTACAATCAGACAATTCCAATTCTCGAGATGGGTATTATGTCGTACAAGATCGTTAGGCGTTATACGTAAAATGGTCGTTATTCGTCTGCTCGTGAAATGGTGTTTGTTACTTCAATTGCATTGGAGTATGTATGATAGTGAGGTATGATGAGAAGACGGTGATGGTTAGGTGAGTAACGTTTTGCCCTTCTTTCTTTCTTTCTCTTTTTGACTGATTAGATTACCAGTAGATGAACGTCAAGCTACAAAAAAACCCCAAAATTGAAAACCTTTTTGCCTGGATTCATGGAGGCTGAGCTAAGATAATAAGATCCATTTTCACTTGTACTTGCTTGTAGGTAGAATGACGCATGAGGATAACCTTGAATAGCTACCTAGTGAATAAATACCTAGTACGAGTGAGTACATGGAGTCGAATATTTTTCAAGTGGGGGGAGAAGAAGAGATTGATCTAGATAGATGTGTACTAGGCGGGTGAGTGAGGAGTGAGATGATAGGCTCGATAGGTATTGTGAGCATTTGGTGGGTGAAATGGAGGGAAGAAGTGGGTGAAGATTCACCAATACGACACGATGCAAGTAATATCGACCTAGGTAGAGATCTTACCTAGGTAGGAGAGAGGTACCTACTCCATATATAGTGCCACGTGAGGATCTACCCACCACCTAGCTAGGTAGGAACACACCTCCTATGTACCGGAATACTGTGAATATCGTGAATATCGTGAATACCATGAATATATATATGTGTGTGTATACCCAAGGTATATATATATTCACAACGTATATATTCACAACGTATACGTATATATATTCACAACGTATATATATATTCACAACGTATATATATATATTCACAATGCTACCTGCAATTGAAGACACCTGCTACGGAACCCTTGTAAAGCTTACACACTCCCCCATGTTCCCAAATTCCAATTTACACCTTGAATTGTCTTATTATCATCATTTTCATGGTTATTATCAGCAC